ACATCAAAATAAATCTCTGGTCTACCCGCTTCACTCCATCTCCACTTCCAGCATTTATCCAAGTCACCATCCTCAGCTATCATGTAACAGTAACATTTAATAGGTGCCCTTGCTTCCACTTTTCTGGGCCAGCAGCATTGCCACCACTACCAGCAAGTGCCTCTCTCCTCTGGATAGTTCTAGACTAAAATACCTGCTCTCCTTGTTCTTTTCCTAAAGTTTTTTTTTTTTAACAGAAATTTTCTTTCTTTTTTTTTTTTAAGACTTTTTATTTATTTATTTGAGAGAGAGGGAGAGAGCATGAGTGGGGGGGGTGGAGGGGTAGTGGGAGAGGGAGAAGCAGACTCCCCACGGAGCAGGGAGTCCGATGCGGGGCTCAAACCCCAGGACCCCGAGATCATGACCTGAGTGGAAGGCAGACGCTTAACCAACCAAGCCACCCAGCTGCCGGAATCTGAAACAGACTCTGGGCTGAGTGTAAAGCCCGATGCTGGGCTCCATCTCACCAACCTGAGATCACGATCTGAGCTGAAACCAAAAGTGAGACGCTTAACCAACTGAGCCACCCAGGCTCCCTGTTCTTTTCCTAACTTTCCTTGAACTTTGTTAATATCAGGTCTGTTACTAGTTCCTTAGGGAGGCCCATTAATCTCATTCATTGCATGTGGAATTTATTAGTTTAACTCTCATTGGTAACCTTATTTCCAAGGTCTGCAAGAAACTTCATAGTTTCTTTTTTTTCTTTGTTTTTGTTTTCTTTCTTTTGTTTTGTTTTTCTTTCTTTTGTTGTAAATAACCAGGTTGGAGTAACGTGAACAGCTGATGACCAAATGTAACCTGAACAGTTGATGACCAAATGAAACCAGGATTTTACAACTCTACTGACCTTTAGAAAACTAAGGCCCTATGGCACACTTTACTTGTTAGTACACACTGTTATCTATACCTGAAGTAACCCAGTGTTTATGATAGGATACTGCCTGGACTAAAGTCTCCCTTTTCCTAGATATGTGACCCTGGAGGATATACATCCTGTGATTTAATTTTTAAATTCCAATAGGAACTTTATCAACAACTTGTAGTTGTATTCAGTGGAGACTGCCTCAAAGTGCTGTGCTGTATGGGAAAGTTAGGCAGGCCACCAGCAAAGGCAAAGCCAGCATTTTATGCTCTATTCAGTAAAATGCCTAGAAAAATCTGTTCCTTACCATCATGAATGCTGGTCTCTGTTAGGAAATTATGTAGAAATGTCACACCAAATTGTTTAAATACTATCATAACAACTTGCTTTTTTACTTTAAAATTGTCAGTTTCTTAAGAATCCTTATCAACCCCCCTTTTACTTTTTCTTAAAAGGGCCTCAGTCATAGAATGTATTTCTAAATTTGTCTTCTGCCTTTCCAAATCTCTACCCTCAGGCAACAACCTTCAAGACGGTTTCAAAATGTTATTGCTCATGAGAAAACAAATACCTCTCCAAAGTGGGGCCATTCTGTCATATTTTAGCATCAAACCTCTGCTTTGGTTCTGGTGTTCTGTTTACTTAATTTAAAAGTCGGTGAGTGTCTACTTCAAGTGGCTCTCAGCTCTTAAGCCATTCCTAGGGCTTTCTCCATCATCAGCTTCACCCACTGGAAAGCCATGCTTGGAAGACTGTGAAGGAACTCCACAAGGCAAGAAGGGAAAGCTGAGTTTTAAGTTCAGGTGCATGAGTGAAGCCAGGTAACCCCGAGTTAGTCCATCTCTCTGAGCAAAGCCTGCTCAGAAGCTGAGTGCAGGAGGTGCGGGTGGGACCTGCCAAGTATAGCCTAGCCTAGTGGGATATGTCTTAAAGTAATGAACATGACGGACTCTGCATGTCCCCTAAAAAATCCATCTCATTGCTTTGTCACACCTTACCCCCCCTGCCCTGACACATACTTTCATTTTTACCATTATTGGGGTTCCAGAGCTTGATCCATGTTTATCATCAAATCTTTTTTTTTTTTTTTTGAGCTCCTACACTGTCCAAAACACTTTACCAAATTCTGTTTTTAAAAACGAGGCCTTGGTGAGGGTTCTGGAGAAAAAAAAAATTGGTGAGGATGTAGAGAAAAAAGAACCTTCATGCACAGGTGGTGGGAATACAAGCTGGTGAGACCACTGAGGTAAACAGTATGGAGGTTCCTCAAAATTAAAAATAGAATTATCATATGATCTAGGAATTCCACTACTGGGTATTTACCCAAAGAAAACAAAAACACTTATTTGAAAAGATATATGAACCCCTATGTTTACGGCAGCATTATTTACAATAACCATGATATGGAGCCAGCTTCAGGGTCCATCCATAGATGGATGAAGAAGTGGTATATATTTACAATGGAATATTACTCAGCCATAAAAAAGAGTAAGATTTTTGCCATTTACAACAACATGGATGGCCCTAGAAGGTATAATGCTAAGTGAAAGAAGTCAGTCAAAGAAAGACAAATACCATGATCTTACTCATTTGTGGAATTTAAGAAACAAAACAAACAAAGAAAAAAGAGACAACAACAACAACAACAACAAAACACCCTTAATTATCAAGAACAAACTGGTGGTTGCCAGAGGGGAAGTGGGTAAGGGATGGGTGAAAAAGTGAAGGGAATTAAGAATACACATATTGTGATGAGCACTGAGAAATGTATAGAACTGTTGAATTATTATATTGTGCACATGAAACTAATATAACACTACATGTTATTTATACTTCAATGACAAAAAAACCAATGAGATGCTGGATAGAATGGATTATGCGAGCAATTCAAACAAATAGCAGTACTTACAGACTGAAATAAAATAAAATTTCAAATAAAAAAATGAGATGCACTACACATGCATTAAAAATCTAAAAATTTTTTAGATTTTATTTATTTATTTGAGAGAGAGAGTGCAAAGCAAGTGAGAGAGAGAGAGAGGGAGAGCACGAGCCGGGGAGAGGGGCAGAGGGAGAGGGAGAAGCAGGCTCCCCACTGAGCAAGGAGCCTGATGCGGGGCTCAATCCCAGGACCCTGGGATCATGACCTGAGCTGAAGGCAGACACTTAGCCGACTGAGGCACCCAGATGCCCCAAAACATCTAAAATTTTTTAGAAACTGACCATATCAACTGTTGGTGAGGATTTGGAGAAACTGGAACTCAGCTCCAGCTGCATAGCAGCTGGGAATGTAAAGTGGTGCGATCACTTTGGAAAACAGTTTAGAAGTTCTTCAAATGGCTCAACATAGAGTAACAATGACCCAATAACCCAGAAGAAAGGAAAGCCTATGTCCACATCAAAACTTGTTCATGAATGTTCATAGCAACCATATTTGTAACAGTAAAAAAACTAGAAACAACACAAGTGTCCATCAACATGTATATGAAAAACACATTGTGGTACATCCATACCAAGAAATGATACTCAGCAGGAAAAAGGAATGAACTAGATATATGTAACAACTTGGATGAATCTCAAAACTGTGGTAAGTGAAAAGAAGCCAGACTAAAAAAATACCCACTTTTTATACCATTTATATAAAATTCTAGAAAATGCAAACTAATCTGTAGTGAAGAAAGAAGAGGAATGGTTGCTTTGGATAGGGAGACGACTTTTGAGGAGGATAGATAATGCTCATTATCTTGAATATGGTGATGGCTTCATGATGTACACATATATCAAATTTTTTTTAAAGATTTTATTTATTTATTTGAGAGAGAGAGAATGAGAGATAGAGAGCATGAGAGGGAAGAGGGTCAGAGGGAGAAGCAGGCTTCCCGCCGAGCAGGGAGCCCGATGCGGGACTCGATCCCAGGACCCTGAGATCATGACCTGAGCCGAAGGCAGCCGCTTAACCGACTGAGCCACCCAGGCGCCCCACATATATCAAAATGTATAGTAGTGTGTACTTTAAATATTGGCTGTTTACCATATGTCAATTATACTTCAATAAAGCTTTAAAATTTAAAGGTAAAAAGGAAAGTAAGATACTTAATAGATTAAGGGGAAAAAAAGAAAGAAAGAAATGAGGCCTTGCCCTCAGTGGCCTTCCAGAGCATTTGGGGAAGGGATGATTACAGGTGAAAGTACGGCTGTGAACCATTTGTGGGTCACGCAGTGAGTGCCACAGAGAGATATCTTCAAGGGCTGGGCACTGGGGAAAGTCTCCTGAAGGTGATAAAATGATCCAGCGGCATATCTGGGCATGGCGAGAGGCTGTAGGGAATGAAAACCTGAGCACTGTTCTCAAAGGAGGGAAAGGGCTTTATGGACTTTGGCCTGTCCTGAGGGAAGCTCTCCCCTTAGAGTAAAACTTCACTTCCGAGGAAAGAGAGGCTTGAAGGAAGAATGTAGGCAGAAATCCTGCTTCTATTATAATAGAGCCAGTTAAGAGAGAAAGTGTTTGCAGATTTCATTTCATAGCTTCTTTATTCTGATGCATCAAGCCCATGGGATGGTACACCAATTCACTGATTCACTCTTACTAGTACCAGGCACTTTGCGGGATGCTGGAGACACGGGGGCAACGTGGAAGTTGCGTCAGTGTAGAGCCTGTTCCTCAAAGTGTAGACCGTGCCCGACCTGCAGCCTCAGCATTCCAATGCTAATACAAATACAGACCCTCCGGCCTCATCCCTAGGTAAGACCTAGACTTACCCTCTCAGAATCTCAGTGCTGGTCCTGAGACTCTGCTCCACTTTGCAGAACCCGCTTCTGCCCCTGAAGTCTGAGTACCTTGGTCTGGTGGCTGTTGCCTCTGCAGGCTACTTGCAGTGCAGCAATGTTCCCTTGGATTTGAGGCTGACAGAAACAGCAGCACCGGCAGATGGCTGCGGTGGCCGGGGTTTCCCCCCACCCCCCGGACCTCCCCCCCTTCAGTCCCCTCCCAACCTCCTCCCAGCCCCCACCCGAACCCCCTACCCGCAAAGGCCGGAGCTGAGCAGGGAGGCCCCACCCTCCATACTAGCCCCGCCCCGATTGTCAGGGGCGAGGAAGCCCCGCCCCGGGCCAGGCGTGCGCCTTTTCTGACAAGCAGGGCCTCCCAGCTCTTACCCTCAACCCTCGCGGGGCTGTCACCAAAACCCTCACGCGTCCTGCGGACTGCAGCCTCGACTCGGCAGGGAGAAAACGACATGGCGGCGGCCAAGCCCGAGAACCTCTCTCTGGTGGTGCACGGACCCGGAGACCTGCGCCTGGTAAAACGGGAAGGGGAAAGGGAAGCCTAGCCAGACCCTGCCCTGCGGGCCTCTGAACTCAGCCGCGGTCCCAGCTCGCCAGTTCCAGCCTGGCGACGGCCCTGCACCTCTGTGTCCCGGCCACCCGGATCAGAGCTGGTTACTCTGTTGGGGGAGGGGGCTGGTGGTTGTAAGGTGCTAAGAGGAAGGTTCTTGTCGCGTGCCGCCCAGAACCCAGCCCCATGGCCGGCACGTGGCCAGAGCCCAGGAAGATTGCAAACTGATTGAAGCCTTCTCCTTCCTTTGCCAGCTGCAGATTCGTAGTCTAGCCTTTTGTCATTGCACATCAAAAGAGATACCAGGAGGCTGCCTAACGTAGGACATGCCCTGGACTTCTCCGGGAAGACAGTGAAAGGCAGAAGGGAGGGCCAGAGGGACATTTAAAAAGCTGTGGAACGCGTATTTAATGTGTCTTGCTGGGGCTGATAAAACCTCCTTTGCAGGATTATTATGATCACAAGAGTACCCAGCACTTATTAGGTACTCAGAAAGTGCCAGTTCCTGCCTCTTTTCCTTCCAGCAGAGGCCTCCATCTCCAGGACTCCTGGTGTTCCCTGTGCCTATTCCAGACTTCTGGATCTGGATAGTGTCCATGTCTCTAAAGCTTCTTTCCTCCTTACCTCCCTTAGTCCACCCTTGGTTCACTTTACGGCCATTTTCCTCTGATCCGGCTCCCCTGTTTCTTTAAGAGCATTATGTGTATGTCTCCTTGGCACCATACCTTTCCATCTGCTCCCTGGCTCATGGGGCCAAAGTCAGGGAGCTGCAGGGTTGGCCCTGTGGTCGTGCCAGGGGTCCCTTGACAAAGGCCATCTCAGATGGGCCTGGGATGGCAGTGGGTGTGTGGGATGGGTGCCAGCCATCTTCTACTGCTCCCTGGTGCCTCCCTTCCTCCTCAAAAGGAATATACATGAGGATCTAGATAGGAGGGACTCAGGAGATTATCCAGATTAGCAGTTCTTGACTATTTGAGAATCTGTGGTCTCTCTCCCCACAGAATGCAAACAGACTGAGTTTGGCAGCAATTTCAGAGATTTTTGTGGACTTCCTTTAAGTCCCTCCATCAACCTTCTGGAGGTTTGTGGACCCCAGACTACACACTCCTGCCCTGAGCCAACTCTCCCATTTCCTCAGTTAAGAAAGTGCCGACCCCAGGGTGACAGGCTTGATTAGTTAACAGGGCCCAGATAAGAACTCAGGGGTTCAGGCTCCCATTCCGGTGCTCTCTCCACTCACTGTGGAGCCTCACCCAAGGTCTTGAATTGAAGTGACCCTATTAGTGTTTATTGCTCCCAACACCAGATGGTATTGTAAGGAAGGCAAAGTGGTGCAGCTCTGTGCAGCTTCCAGAGTGGTCTCCAACTCAGTCCTTCATTCCACAAACATTTATTAGATGAGAGGGTGCCTGCCATATGCCAAGCACTGGGCCGGGGGCTTGTGGCCCCTACCCTCAAGCTACTCTAGGGAGACAGACAAGATGAAGTCAACAATGAGTCCGTGCGACAGCCTTGATGGAGGCTGCGCAGAGTAAAGACCTCACAGGGAGGGGCCCTTGGCCTAGGAAAGAGGTCCTGGAGGTGGATGCTACTTGATCTGGTTCCTGAAGGATGAGTCGGAGTCATTCAGACAAATGTAGGAACCAGTGCAAAGATAGATGAAGTACAGGATTACAGGTCCTGTTTCCTGGCCCTGCAAATAGTGTGATGTACTGAGTGGAGTTTGAAGCTGGAGAGGTCGACAGGATCTGCTTTTCCTGTTGCTCAGGGCCTGTTTTCAGTCATGAACCTGTAAGTAGCAGAACTAGAATTGCAACCCCAGGATCTGCTTTGCCTTAACTCTTCAACTCATGCTCTCCCACTACTCTGCCAGATGACCTCTCTTTTTGTCATGCTTCTAGAGCAAAGCCTTGAAGACTGGAGGGGCCGGGAAGCTCACCTTAAAATTGATTTTATGAAAAAATAATAAACATTTTTGAAGATTGATTTTATCAGCTTTGCCTTAGAATCTACACCCTGAATTAGGGAGGAATTGGGGTGGGTGTATACTAAAGGCTCTAGAAAATATGACTGGCTAGAGAATGTTGCCCGTGGTTGTGGGATTGGTACACTAAAAGGCTTCAGGATGGATTCATGAGTGCCTCAGGTCTGTTTGAGAGTAGCGGGTGGTGGGATCATTTTACTAGACAAAAGAGTAGATTAAAATGATAAGATCGGGTTTGAGTTTAAAATGTCTCTGGGACATGACATCAGGGTGTCTTTGAGAAATTACCTTGGTTCTAGGGATCTGGGATATAGGGACGATTTCTTGGGCTGGAGATGTAAATTCAGGAGTCCTCTGCTTCTTTACTGAGCAGTCCTGCACCCCGCCCCATGAAGCATTTGCGAATGTGTGTGTGTGTTGGGTGTGTTGTCACAACGACTGAGGGGCAGACTTCATTCAGTTTACAGCACTGTCCTGCTCAACAAAGTATTGTCCTGGCCAAAGTAGCACCCTGGTGGGAATTTGTAGATGGACCAGCTTGCCTAGGCTGAGCGGGACATGTAGAGCGAGAAGGCAGCAAGTGGAGGACATTACCTTGGAGAGAACCCCATGCTCAGGGGAAGGGGCAGAAAGCTGTCAGCTGAGAAGAGTGACCAGGGATGCCTATGCTGCCTCAGAGATACCTGTGCCTCAACACAGACCCTCCTGGCCCCTCAGCACTCCCTCCAGAGAAGGACCCCCAGCACCTCCAAAGAGAGCCCCCTGACTGCCATAGCGCATCTCTGCTCCTTCCTGTAAGGCAAATAGATAAGTGGTTTGGGGTTAGGGGGTGGTGGTACTATTAGTAAACCAGGAAGCAACAAGGAGGAACAGTCCTAGGGCAGCTTTGGGAGCGAACACCAGTTCTCCTTTCTGTGGGAGAACCAAAATGAAATCTAAGATTTCCTGGCCATAGCTGGCTGTGGCCATTTTGGCCAACCAGGGTCAGGGTCCACTGATAGAAATGGTTGTGCCTCGGGAACTCGTGTGAAGGGAGTTGTCTGGGGACAGGCCATTTCTAAAATCTGAAGCAGGATTTGGAAGGGTTCTGAAGCAGGGAGCGAGGGCTCAACCCTGCCCGGTGCTGCCATCCCACTTCAGGTAAGCCCAGGGACCGGCCAACATCCATGGCAGCGGTGTCTGGGGGACATTTGACCTGCACCTCTTCAAACTCCTGCCATCGTCCACCTGCCAGGAAGGAAACCTCACACCTAGCTTCTTCCTGCCTATGGAGAAGGCAGGAAGGATTCCCTTTTCTTTCTTGGTGCTGGGGCTGCAGGGAAGGGAAAAGTAAATTCCTTGCCTACTGTGCAGCTAGTGATCCCCTTGGCCACAGCAAGGGAAGGGCCCTGGCAGCTCCAGTGCTCCCTGGCCTGGGGATTCAGGTCTGCGTGATGCCTCGGCTCTGAGCATTTCTAAATTGGGTGGTAAATCAGAGAGAGAGCATGCGCGTGCGACACACACACACACACACACACACACACACACACACTGACTGGTGGTTTATCTTTTATAATGAGGAAAACAAAAATATGAGGGGGAAAAAAGGGACTTTTACTTTTCCCTCCCTAGTTTAAATAGAGCAAGGGAGAGAGGCAGCCAAGCTGATGCATAAAGAGGCAAACAGCCTGTCAGCAAAAAGTGTCAGCTCAAAGTGCAGCTCACTGAGGTCCTCTTTAAATGGAAACAATAACAAAGTCACGAGCCAGGTTGAGGCCCAGAGTGGGGTTTAGTGCCAGCTCTGCTGTTTATAGTTGTGTGACCAGCCAAATTACTTTCTGCTTCAATTTCCCGTCTGAATGATAGGCATGACAGGAGTTTTCATCTCTGGGTTGTATAAGGGCTAGATGGTGTCAGGGAACAAGAATTCCTGTCCCCTCAAAGGTTCTAGCTGGACCAAGAATCAAATTGACATGAGACAGATTAACAGGAGAAAATCAAATTTAATAGTTTATATGTACAGAGAATCCACACATATATGGAAATGCCAAAGACAGGCAAAATGAGGCCTCTGTGTCATTCTGAACTAAGAAAAAGGGTTAGAGGCTTGGGACTTCAAAGGGAATGAATGCAATTCGCAGGAAGATCAAAAAGAGGAAATGTTTGGTAAATAAATATTTCCCCTCCCACATAGATGGATTACTCAGATAAAATTTATCTACGGTCAAGACCCTCCAATTTAGATTCTTCTTTGTAGTTAAGGCTGGGGCAAAAGTTTCTCCTGAGCTCGTAGGATCTTGATTGCCTTCAACTCAAAATAATCCACATGCCAAAATGGCCCATCTTGGACCAGCCTGCCCTCAATCAGCCCTTACAAAGTGATGGTGTCTGTAAAAGGTCCAGCACAGCTAATGACAGGAAGCTAGGGCCTAGAAGAATCAGACATTTAAACCATCTCAGCATAGGGGTGCCTGGCTGGCTCAGAAGAGTACAGGACTCTGGATCTCAGGGTCATGATTTCAAGCCCCATGTTGGGTGTACAGATTACTTAAATTAAAAAAACAAAACAAAAAAAAACCATCTCAGCATAAAAAGAGATAAAGACCAAGATCTTCAAATACATGGGCATTTTTTTTCTTTTGTGTTACGTGGGCAATTTTTTTTAGATTTATTTAGAGAGAGTGCATGCGTGAGCAGGGGTAAGGCAGAGAGAGAGAGAGAGGGAGAGAAGAAGACTGTCTGCTGAGTGTGGAGCCCTGTGCAGGGCTTGATCCCACTGATGTAGTTTTGGAATGTTGGTGAGGCCTGGAGCCAAGGGCGAAGAAAGAATTCTTGAGACGTCTTTGGTGCAAAAAGGGTGATTTTATTAAAGCAACTGGGACAGGACCATGGACAGAAAGAACTACTGCACTAGGGTTGTGAGGAATGGCTGATTATAAACTTGGGAGTTGGGGGAGGTAAGGAAAAAGGGAGGTGTCCAAAAGGACTTTCATATGCTAAAG